CGTGACAGGAGGTAACCTGAACCCATACACATTCCGGGTAAGTCTCGAGGTCACATCTTCTACATGCACACAGCGACGCGTCCTTAGCGATTAAAACACCTCCTTCATATATCTGCCCATAACGGCATAATCACGGTCGTTCAGGAATACTGTACATGACGGAGGAAAATATTGAGAGCTAATGATACAGTCCTCTTTCCAAGTTTCAGTAAGGCACACAATGGTGTATGGATAGCCCACAATTTCCGACATAAACTCGGGGCACTTCGTTCTAAGGCCGCGAACTTTCTGGTAGTAAAGCGTGCATTCCACAGTAAAAGGTTACAAGGTTAAGCATTTACAATGACCACTGTCGCCGACGTGACTCTAAGAATGCCAAAAAAGGGCGAAAAAGGCATCCGGTTGGCCAAATGTCGGGTACATTGATATCGTCAAAGTCATCGTTCTCGACAGCCACGTGAAAGGATGCATAGGTATCGTGTTTCGTTACAAGCTTGGTGCACGTCACTGACTTGCCTCTCAAAGCACCTGCCAGGGATTCCGTAATGTCAACTTCCGTTGTTTGAGGATCCAGCCGGGAGACGAAGAGCCCTCGGCGTCTGGGTTGCAGAGGCACAGAGCCCAGCTTGCTGCCGGCGTTCTTTCGCTCGGCAGGTCTGTTTTTTTGTCTTTTTTTTCTTGTAACAGTTTTGAATCCTTCAGCGTCCACGGTGTCCCCGTGGCCTGGATATGCAGATGATGACGATATTCCATGAGCCGCGCTATTTACGGGAAGATAACGACGTTGTCGCTGAGTCAGAGACTTGGGTCGGGTATCCAGAGCAACAGAAACAAAGGGCTGCGTCATTGACTGCAGAACGTCGCATGAGTTTTTATTTTGGCAGCCCCTGCCATGGGGGGGGGGGGGGGGGGGGGGGGCCTCGCTCACAACTGCTTGGCGAAGTTAGGAGACTTCCACTCGTAGTGCACTGTTGTCCACGCGTAGCAGCTCAACCTCAGCGGTCAAAACTTCAAGCCGAGATGAAAGCCCCATGAGTAGACGAAGGGTTTCCCAAGAAATCTCTGCATCTGCCGATTCACCGTTGTCGCTTCCGCCGTTGTTGAATTCCGCGTTCCTTGTTTTGGGCGTAGCCGCACCATCAGTCTCAGCGCCGATAAGCCTCGTCGCAGAAGGATTTGCGCGCCTCGAACAAACCCTGCATTTGTAACTGCTTTTTCCAGACTGCATGAAGTTGTATTCTGCTATCTGAATATCTAGGCACTTCCAGAAAAACTGACGAGAACATGACGCACCGTGCAAAAATTGTTGTCTGCCAAAAAAATGGGCAGAGCAGCAATCGCACCCGTCCTTGCTCCCCGTCATTTGCGCATTACCTACCTTGCGTCAGCATCGTCGACAGCCCGTCTTACAGCGTCTCGCAACGAGTGCGACGTTAGCAAAATAGATCGTGTATCCCTGGTAAGAGACCTTGGCGTCTATGTTGATAGCACTCTATCATTCACTGTGCACGTTTCTAAGATTGTTGTATCAGAAATAAAAAATTTGGGAATGATCACTTGGTTATAAAGTTTTTTTACTTCACCATTATCTGAGTGTGTCTTTTGTGTAGCCTTGTGCGCTCAGGACTTGAATTTGGTTCAATTAGTTGGAATTCACTATCTTTAACACAAGTTGAAATGATCGAGCGTCTGCAGAAGAAATTTATGCAAATTATTTATGACCGATGCATTGGTCGGAAACAGTGATTTAGTTGGGATTTCTTGCTGTCTCTGTTCAGCCTTGACAGGCTATCACCGAAGGGGGCTGTTAGAGACATTCATTGTCTTCATAAGGTAGTGCACGGTACTGTTAAAACTGAAAATTTACTCATGAATATAGACTTTCATGTGCCGTCCAGAGCTAGTTGCCATTTTTAACATTTTATTTTACTAGAAGTAGCGAATCATCGCCATTTTATCGTATGCAGTCTGTCTTTAATGTTATTTGCGATTGTGACGTAGATATTTTTCTTGATATTGTTAGTTTCATGTCGGCCTAGAAAAAATGTATTTCATCCAACCAAGAGTTAGTGTAAGGCTTTATTTTGTCTGCAACCTTGTATTTGTGTCCTTGCAAATGTCTGTATAATTCTGTGTATGTATGTATTTTAAATAGCGTTGCTGTAAACACGAAATAACAGTGCACCACACAAAAGGCGTTACAACTGTTTGTGGACACTAAAAAAAAATTAATATTATTTAAATAAATATACTAGATAACATAAATAATAAAACATGGAGAAGACGAAACACAGACGAGTGCTTCGTCCTCTGTACGTTTCATTCTTTTTGTTAGCTAGTGTACTTTACCAACACGCTCGTTAGGAGCGTAATAACAAAAGTTTTTGAAATACAGTATCTTGGGTAGAGTATTTAAGAATGACAAAAGTCTGGCTTGAGTTCAATTCGGCCTCGATTCTTTATTTTATTAAATGTGTTCTCTGCTATAAATTCACAGCCCCTTTCTTGGCTGTTAACGTGTTCTTGTTCAGAACATTCCTTAACGCGCCGCGTCTATAAAAGCAGCGATAATGCGCTTCTTCGGGCCAGTCACTCTTCCGTCGCCGACGCAGCATGCGTCGGCGACGGAAGTTTGTAGGCAAAAGTTCGACTCATTAAACGTTTATTTCAGGTTCTAAATTTATCTGCTCTTTTCATTGGTTACAAAATTACACCACGAGGAAAGTGTTTATAAATCAACGTGTAGAAAATTATGTGCATGAAACAAATACGCTGACAATCCATCCTTAGATACGTCCTGTACGGAATCAAGAACTAATAATAGCATATGTCTTTTGTCTTATACGCACTCACACCAGAATTATCTTTGAAGGTACTTAACTATATTGCGCTCCAAGGTAACTATAAAAACTATAGAAATGCATGCTGTTACTACTGGGAAATCGTTTAGAGTTTCCGATGTTCTTCTTCAGGTCGGAGTGTCCCCATGAAATAGCAGACAAGAATGATAAAGTTATTATTATGTCGCAGCCGCAAGACGCTTATTATCTCATTATTTTTTTAATATTCGAAGTTACTTTTTTTTTTTTCTCGACACGCTCCTCCTTGGCGGAAATTAGCGGACGGCGTAAACGTTATAAGTCAATCGCAATACGGGGACAGTTTAGTGAAGTAGAAGCGCCTGCGGAAATTTCTGGCTATAGAAATGAAATGAAATGAGCTACATAAATATATACTGTAAACGACTTAATTTTCTCGAGGAGCCAATTTTCGCGAATTTCGCGAATCGCCATAAATTCGCTAAAAAATAGGTCCTGCGAACAATTCCGGTAAAATGTAAACACATTGGAATGTATATTGAGATCTCACCGGGTCGGGGAAATTAGAATCCGCGAACAATTCTAAAACTTCAGCTTTTACCTAAATCGCAAAATATTGAGCCCGCGAAAACTGTCGTTTACAGTATTTCAGAGAAATTGCAAATATCCTTTCAACAAAAACATTTACGTGATTTGGGTAGACTAAATTCCATTTTTCCACATAACATATCACTTGCACTGACTTTCGAACAGCAGCCATTGTTGCGGCCTTGCTGCCGAGAGCGTGCTTCCTGCAACATGCAATCCGCGCCCTTTGAATTGTTTTAGTTGACAGGCACAGGTGGGAAAGTTCACCAGCAGGACTCAATGACGTAACGTCCAAGCTATGAATAGTGTGAAACAAGCTTTACATTTTTTTTTTGTAATTGCGTAATGTGCATTTTTATGAAGCCGGAAGTTAGTCAGCCTTAACGCAATGCAAGTGCCGTTCCACAGCTGGATTGTGGCATTTCATATGCACCTTGCAGTAGTGATTCACGACTGCACGCCGGTACGATGCTTATCCGGATCGAAATAACAAGTGTCGTGTTTTATGCGCTTTGCTTCTTTTAAGGCGCATTTGCAAAACTCAACTAAAAATCGAAGAATATTTGAAGTTAAACTTGTTCCACGCTTCTTGTTTAGAAACACGTGTATATAGTTCACGAAAACCGCAAATATGGCTTTCTTGAAACCACGTCCACGATTTCTTTGTATTAAGCTCCGCACACGTGGTTTCTCGTTGTTCTAAATGGCATGGAAGTGTTTTGTCGTGTTCGTGATTACGTGCTTTTTGCAGCTGGTTTTCTGAATTTATGTTTTATCTTTTATAGTTGCCGTGCCCTCTCAGACGGTTCTGTAGGTAAACTAAATTATTCGGTTTTTATCATTTGTAATCATGTCCTGTATCTACCGAACCGTAAACTACGCACTTCTAAATTAACTTTCTGAGGTCATAAGAAGTCGGAAATTGCCCCGCACACACCTCCTTTGTCGTTCACATGGAATCTAAATAAAGTAAGAAGTTTGTTTCCTTTTTTCCCCTTATAGATATTCCTTTGTGGATCGGATGACTGTGGCGTTGCTTTTTTTCATAGACTGCTGCTTGCAAATGAACTGGTGTGGTGGTTTTATCTCTTCCACCTCAAAGATGTGCCATTTATGACTGAAGTAAAGACTAAATATACTAAAATTCTATACTTTTTTCCATTATAGGCCAAAGGGGATAGAACTGAATCAACGGGAATACACTGTAAAGCATTAGAGTACCCATGTCAAAGTCATTATATAAAAGTCAGTAAACGAATAATGCAGGAAGGTAGCGAGCTGGCTTACGAAGTCCCACCCCGTTATTCACCCGTCTACATGAGCTGCCATTTTTTTAAGTAAAATGAACTGCCCGTTATGTCTACAACAAACGTGGGATTTCACATTTTCATGAGAACTTCCAACCTTATCAAGAAAAGGTTATACCAAAGGAAACATAACTTTCGATTATCTGCAAGTGCGTAAGACCCTGTCAATGATCAAAGACGAGCGAGAAAGGTTTTCGCCTTTTTCAAATGTCATACGTTGAAATAGTATATATACGGCCGGCGAACGGTCTTTGCCACATCTCTCAGAAAAAAAAGAACACCGACCATGGTTCTTCTTAAAGTATTCCTTGTGCTTTGTGCCTTGGCGTATGGTAAGTTTTCTGACCGAGCTGTAACGCGAAACTTTTTTCTTGGTGTGTTTCTTTACTTCAGTTTCTCAAATAGACAAACGAAAACCATATATCTGAAATTCTATGCGCACGCCCATAAAACGGTTATAGACTGCTACAGTCAGTAATCAGAACCTATTGTGCGTCAACGACCATGACTTGCATTTTTACACAGGTTTATTTATGGTTAGGGTAATCGAATCAGTCGCTACTGTGGTGGAGCATTAAGGGACGTTTCTTTTAATTGAAATTAAACTGTTGAAATAAGGAGAAAACAGAAGTTATAAAAACGAAAAGCAAAGGATCATGAAGGCGAAAATGCACACTAAAGACGGTGTGTAACAAAGTCGACTAGCCGGACATGGGCGCTCGGGAAGTACGACCACAAACAAGACTAGTGTGCTAAGTCGTGGACTTTTCGTTGCAGACAGCGTTTTGCTGTGTTTGATTTACATCATCACAGAAGGCGTAACCTTTTTGTTGAAGGCTAGCAGAACGTGATCAAATAATATCTGCTGAAAAATAATAAAAACCAGAAATTGAAATACTTATCTAGCATCTTAATGTCGAACAATCACCTGATGGCAATATCCTAATTTACTGAGTCGACAAGGAGGGCGTAGACCGTAAAAATGTACTCAAAATGTGTTGTAAACAATTACTCATTCAGTTGCGCGTAAACGGAGGGCAGTTCACTTTACACACTGTAATGCTAACCTCTGCGTAGGCTCGCAGAGTATAAAAATTCCTGCGTATTTTGCCATGTACTTTTCCATGCAAAAGTTGTTGACTGTAGTTTTTGAACAGAAAATTAAGATATAAAACTAGGAACGCAATAAAGAAGAAAAGAGTTCATTCCCGAAAACGTGCTTTTTTAGTATTATGGGTAAAACGTCAAATTAAACAAAGAAATATGAAAGTAATGCCTCAAAATATTGGTTCAAAAGCAAAAAGTTGACAGGCACAGTTGTAATTTCTGAACAGTTTACTGCAAAATGTAAAACAATATCACGTTGATGGCTCTCTTCCACTAAGCACGCGAGAGCCCATTCACTGCATTTTGCCTTGCGTTCCCTAGCGCGCTCAGCGCCAACTGGCGATAATAAACCTCAAATTTATTTTCATCTGGCACATAGCCATTTTGAAATAAGTTGTCGTTTTACTTCGTTAATAATTGTACACACATGCGCTCGGTGGTAAACAACACATGAGTGTAATTGCATGCATATTTGTTCACGGTGAATAACCACGTGGTTTTGCTTTTTTGCTTATAATAAAAGGTTCTTGGAGTCCTTTATTTTCGGACATTGATATGAACTCATAATCTAAACTCGGAGACAGATTTAAATAAAATATCCGACGGATTTTGTGTCGTTCGGTTTGTTCTGAGTGTCTTCCGATTTAGGTTACGCTGTTCCCTAACCAGCTAGCCGCCTCGGTGGCTCCAACGCGAGAGCGTCGGCCTACCCATCCCCGTGTGTCGGGTTCGAATCCCGGCCGAGGTGCCCGCAATTTGACGGAGGCTTTTTGCGGTGAAGGCGCCGTGTAACCGAGCTTTCGGTTGCACGTCGAAAGATCCCCAGGTGGTCGAAATTAATCCTCAGTCCTCCGCTGGGGCGTGCCAGATGCCCGTCGTTGGTTTGGCGCGTAAAAACCCCCAAATTTGATTTTTTTGTCCCTAACCAGCTTGTCTGAGTACCTTCGCTTCTTGACACCCTTAAATTTATTCTATTTGGAAACGGGTGAAATAGAAAAAAAAAACACGCGCCTGTGTCGGATAATTAAGATAAAAAAAACAAAAAAACAACAAAACAACCCGAGATTATGCATCTTTAAAATTGCTCATAAATGCTTACAGTAACAAAAACCTAATTTAAGTTTCATAATCGTGGTCGGCAATAATAAATCACATCACGATTTCAGTGTTTTTTTCCTCTACGCCCCTTCCGTGAGGAGAGCTTTGAAGCGCAGTCAAGTCCGAAGGCGAGGTTGATAAAAACGCAAAAAGGACGTACCATAACCAGGGCAGCTGTGAAATCACAATGTGTTACTGGATAATGTCTAGAGGCAATATCTGGCGAATATATTTTTTCTTGTGAGTTAGATGGGATTGCCTATTCACGGGAATAACAACGCATGCCTGTTTTTGACTGGAGTAGCCGCTTATATTTACCAAATAATGCACTCAGCACTTGAAAAATTTAGACTTTAAACCATTGACAGGGAAAGTTACAAGAAACCATAAAGCCTCTCTGGTTTTAGTTTTACCGTTTTATGACATATGTGAATATGGACGTTTCTTTATAGACGCCTTCCCAGGCATCTATATATAAACGTCCCTAACAAGTTGCGTCAGGAGGCCTAGTGTGCGGAGTGGGATGTAAAAACAATAGCGTCTTCAGGGCTTGTTTATGCTACATTGAAGAGAGCAGAGCTCGTGAGTTATGTCTCACTGAATCTTTTTAATCTATTTATGGTATTTTATAAATGAGAATACAATCAGTTTTCTTCAAATTACGATACAGTATTGAAATTTTGGAGAGTGTGGTGGTAATTTATTCTTTTAACGAGAATTTTATGTTCAAACACATTGCTACTTCTCAACCGATGCACTTGCTTTAATGGGTTTTTTTTTTCAGGGACGTCGTTATACGCAAACCTTGATGGCGATGCAAAAACGAATAGTGCAACCTCGCTAGTAAGAATAAAACGTGAGTATTTACTTTAAGTGTTAATTTGCTTACTGGTTAAGTGAGGGTTCTTTCGCGAGAATAAAAAGGTGCAGCTTTTCTTAATATACTGAGCTTACGATATAATTTGTGATCTTGCCTTAAACAACACAAGTTTTGCGATAATACTATATATAGAAGAAAGGTCTTGTGACGTCGAATATTAGCGTAATTAAGGCATGAAGTGTGATAGCGACAAAAAAATTAGGACGTTATTAACACCCTGTAACGCTGAATTGGAGGAGGAGGAGGGAAGGGTACTGGAGGGGGTATACCCCACCTCCTCATCCTCCCTGCTACTCCTCCTCCCTCCTATTGCTCCTCCTGCTACAAGCTCCTTCCCTCCTTCTACTTCACCCACCCCTCCTCCTCCTCCCCTCCCTTTCATCCTCCTTTTCCCCCTTCCCTCGCTCCCCCTCGTCCTCCCCCTCCTCCCCGCGCGGTGCATTATGGGACATTTCCCATAATGCACCGCGCGGTTACGCCGACGCCGCTCGAGCCGGACATGGGCACCCAAGAGGTGCGCTCTAAAACACCTTGCTGCAGAAACAATGAATGGCTAAATATCCTGTTTTTACCCGATGCCGCTCATACCTTTTTATTCGGCCACTCAACTTTACTGAGAGTAGTGTTGTGGGGACGGATGGACGAGAAAAATATTATCGAGCATGCTCAACTGATGAAGAATTCCTCTAGCCAAGATTTATTCTACTAGTATGCTCCCTCTCGCGTGAACAGTTCGATATTGAGCAGTTTCGCAGAAAACGTTTATTCGATTCGTGAGATATTTGATGTTTTCCAAGCGAAATTGTGGCCCAGTTGGATTAATCACTACCTGAGTCAGTCAAGATATACCGTTATCACTGTGCCTAGCATTTCCGAATCGCCAAATTTTCCAGATGTTTCTACTAGAGATTAAATGGAATACCATTATTCTTGAGTTAAACTGAAAATTGCTTTTTTTAGGGCGAATATTAAGCAAATCCAGCGTTCATAAACCACAATGAAACGATTTTATAACTTACAATGTGAGCAAAACAAAATAAAACAAAACGAACTTGACAAAGACTGCTTGCGTACCTAAATGTTACTCATAAACACAATTCACATGGGCGAAATTATCAGGAAAGTACACGCGCGTACGTTTGCGGCTCTAAGGCTCAAAATCGGGGTTGTTTCCGCGCGGAAATCATCGGTTAAGAATTTACCCATTTGACTTTTTTTTTTAGTTCCTTGCCATAAGAGCACAGAAATCTAAATTTTGGAGTGTGTGACGTTGGAGGCATATATTGGTAAACAACAAAACCGAATAAATTAATAATAATACCTTTTTGTAGACACCGAAACTGCAAGGATACGTGGATTTAAAGAAAATTTGGACGCGCCGTCGCACCGATTTGAACACATGTGACTTCCGTAGCCTTTATCACCAGATTGATCCTCTTGGTTTAATGTGAATTATTTGCTTGTCTAATCTATTTATGTGTTTTCTAACGAGATGAGTGGGGTGATTCTTTCAGATGATGCTTTGGCGATTCACATCCGAAACAGTTTTTTTTTTTTCAAGTGCCAGACATAGATAATCCCAGGATTCTAAACTGGAGTATTTTAGATAATATTTTAGTTAAAAAAAAAAAACACTTTTATAGTTCAAAACAAAAGCTAGTCACAAGCAATTAAGCCACAACTTAGTGTGAATGTAAAAAAAAGAGACAATGTGAGACAGAATAGTTGTTGCCTTCCTGGCTTTGTTGTATTTGAAAGAACATTAATATTAAGCATCTCAGAGCACAGCTCTTAGGCGCCCGTATCCGGCTTAAGCGGTGTCGGCGTCGCCGTCGCCGTCGGCGTAGCCGCGCGGTACATGATAGGTAAATTTACCCGCTAAATCTAGCGGAAAAAATTCCACGCTAAATTTAGGGGAAAAATTTCCCCGCAAAATCTTGCGGAAAATTTTCCCCGCTAAATCTAGCAGAACATTTTCCCCGCGAAATTTAGCGAAAAAATTGTTTCCGCTAAATTTAGCGAAAAGGTGAAGGTACGGAGAGGCATAGCCCCCTCTCCGTACCTTTCCCTCCTCCTCCTCGAAAGCTGCGCTCTAATTTGGCTTTACAGGGAGTTGTAAACGGCTTTAATTATTTATGTTTAAAGTTTTCTAAAATTTTAAACCGAGTAGATGATATTCTCTTTAAAAACAACCCTGTTTTCCAGGTGATTTATATGTTGGAGGTTCAGCCCAACTTGAACTTTATATACTTTATAGTACAGGGCACAAGAAACGTCTAACGAAAAAAAAACATGTGTCTGATTATTTACGCAAGTTTGTGGAAAAGGTAAGTAAATTTGTATGAAATTGCAAACAGGAAAGTGACGACTTTTCAAATATTGACAGTATGTAGTCGACCTGACCTTCTAACGCTCCGTAATTATCTGAATAAGAAATGTATAATTAACTACGCATATAAACGGCAAATAGTGTGCTGACACAGGTATTGTTAATTTCGCGAATAATATTGTTGAAAACATGACTAAAATAAGAGGTCTAAATTTACTTGCGTAATTGACACTGGAAAAAAATTCCTCTTGAGACCATGTGACGCTGCCTTGACGGTCGTCCAAAGTGCGGCTGGCCAATATGATTGGGCAAGGCACTGCCATTAAGATTTATACCTCCGCGATCGCTAGCCCCAGCGCAGCGTGCTTCGATTTGCTATTGTGAGACTAGAAGTTTGGTTGACTTTCCGAATACGTACACTTCGGATGAAGTAAATGACTACCGATACGCCGGCAAGACGAACGTCCGAGACTGACTGTGTAGTTCAAGTTTGGGAGTAAAAGATATGTTGAAGTATCCTCGCGCCAAACGACAAGTATTTTGGGTTGGTTCATTCTTACTAGTCACTGAATGTTCCCCAGTACCAAGTCCATTCCAGTCCGCTTACCAGAAGTAAATCTCACAGAATCCAGTTTTGATTGGCTGGATCAACCAGGTGCGGGATTTTTCAGTCGGCCACTAAAAAATTACCCCCTTTCGTACCTCTAGGGAATCGATGCGATAGGACAGAACGGAAGATTCGTAGTTCTTTTCTATTTTTTTTTTTTTTTTGTATTAAGGATCCGCTAATCTGGTTCGCCCAAAAGATTGCCGGCTCGTTTGGTCGTTCTGGTTGCGCTGGCGCTGCGTTGGGAACTCTACGCCTTAGAGGCTAAGCCCATAACACTGGACTTCGATCTGCTTCGAGTCGAAAGAGAGATACGAGCCAGCGAGGAGCAAGTCACGCGCTGTTCGGAACAAAGAAAACAACTTTAATAAAAGCATACCTGTGTCTCTACAGATCAGGAAAGTGAACTTGAAAGCTCGCACCACAACGAACGCGACACTATACGCGCTTCGTTTCGGCCGCACAGGGCAGTGCCATGTTGGGGATGGCGATTGTTGCGCCACGATTCGGTTCTGAGGGGAAGCTTGGAAGTTTCTGTACTATGGGAATATTTATTGGCTCTAGTTCTCACAGGAGAATGAGATGGTTGCGGCGTTTTCGTTGGCGAAGCTAGCAACATCGGTGACGCAGACGTTTGTCACGTCTTCGTTGTCAATGCAGTTTTTCATCAGCGATTGATCGTGCAGTCCCCCGCAGGGGGCACCTGTGAAAGCAGGTGTTTGGAGAGTGGCGTCTCCACGGACCCCGAGCCATGCGGGTTCGCCCGCCCACGTCTGGCTGTGCGTGGCTTTCTCGTGTCCGGGGAAAAGGGCATCCTGGTGGTTGAGCCAAGCCCGGGGTAGGTTTGGACCCTTCGGGGCCCCCCGGGCGAGGCAATACACCACTTCGGCCCCCGCTTCCCGTAGACGGGTGTCCTGGCTTGGCCCGACCAGGATGATTCAGTCAGTCGCCTTTTCTTCTACTATCCCCTCCCTTCTTTGGCCTTTCTCTGCTCTTCTCTTTTTCATTGTCACCTTCTTTGGCGGCAAGGGCTAACCTTTGGGTGGAGACAGATACCTTTCTCGAACCACACTTGGTTATAGTTACTTGGTAGCACTGTTAGTGTAGCATACCCAGCCAAGCCATACTTGCTATGGGGTGCTACCTACCCCCTTGTTGGGCTCAGTGGTGGGTGTTGCGCCACAGTTTCTGAACACCCTCCGCCTTTCATGGCTTCCGCAAACCCTAAACCCGGTTCGGGACGAACCTCTAAGAGGCAGCGTCCAGAACCACAGACCATTGAAAAAGAAACTGTAGAAACATTTTCAAAGTTTTTTGTTATTCACTCACATGACGAGCAAAAACCTGTAGCAAAGATGTCACCTTTTATTGTCGCCAAAGTGCTAGAAAACCTTGTTGGATTTTCTTACAAGGCCAAGAAACTGCACTCGGAAGACCTTCTTGTTGAAGTGAACACTAAAAAGCAAAGCGAAGCGCTTCTCAGACTGACCAACGTTCTGGACGTGGAGGTGTCGGTGAGCCCTCACCGTACACTAAACACGGTCCGTGGTGTCCTGTCTGAAGAAGCCTTTCTTTACACCAATGAAGATGAACTTCTTCAGGTTCAGTGGTCGTCGATGCTCAGGTGTCGTCGATGTCAGACGTATAGTGTTCCGCAAGAATGGTGAAAATATCCCTTCAAAACATGTTATTCTCCCTTTTGAAAGACGGGCACTCCCAGAGACGGTCAAAGCCGGTTACCTCAACTGTCGCATCCGCCCATACATCCCCAACCCCCAGCGGTGTTTCCGTTGCCAGCGCTTTGGCCACGGATCACGCAGCTGTCGTGGGAAGGAGACATGTGCCACGTGTGGAAATGAGGGTCACGTGTCTGATGGTTGCGAGGCAGAGGCACACTGCGCAAATTGCAGAGGACCACATCCTGCCTACTACCTAAGCTGCCCCCTCTGGAAGCAAGAGAAGGACATCCTCGCAATTAAGGTTAAAGAAAACAGTCGTACGCAGCTGCAAAAAAGCGCTTTTCCTTCCTTTCTAAGGGAGGTTATGCCGAGGTGGTGCGCAGGGGCCCGCACCACGCTCGGAAACAAAGGTCACTCAGGTCTCTCCTGAGATCTTGGTTGCCGACCTAAAGGCCCCATCCCCACAACAGAGGCAGCATGCTGCTCCCCTGGGCAAGGACGGGCCGGCGATAGCCGTGCCCGCCCTCCCTTTCAAGACGGTGGCAAAGGGTCAGCGGGCTCACCCTTCTCGCGGAGAGGGCGCTCCAGCTGACTCCTCTGCTCAGGACAGGCCAGCACTGGCTGTACCTGTCAACACAGGCCGCACTCCTATGGAGGAGAAAAAGCAAGTTCCTCAGCCTCAGTCTCTGGAGAGACAGCCAGGAACCAAGGAGCTGTGTGGGTCGCATGCAGCTCCCTTGTCGGGAAACGAGGTGGAACAGATGTATGGGGTAGAACCCCTCCCCAGTTCATCAACCACCCTTCCACCCAGTTCTGGTCGTGGCCGCGGATCGGGGCCTCGCGGCACGGACCCTCCCAGGCCAGCAGGCAAGTCTGCCTGCAAGGCTCAGGAAAACACTAGCGCTGCCTTGTCTGCCCCCTCGTTGACTCCGGGTTCTGACCAGGGCGAGATGGAGTGGCAGACTACTAAGAAATAAAAATAAAAAAACCTGTAATTCCTCCAAAGTGAAACAACTGACTCACCTTTCCATCTGCTCCGGTTTTTTGTCCCTAAAATTGCTTCAATACTCGTACAGTGGAACTTCCGTGGCCTTCTAAGAAACCTGGACGATGTAGAGCATCTTCTGGAGGAGTACAAGCCACGAGCGCTGTGCTTGCAAGAGACTCATTTGAGTCCCAGTCGCTCTAATTTTCTGAGACGTTACCAGGTTTTCCGGAGGGATCGCCCGGGCTCTGGCAATTCTTCTGGTGGAGTTGCGGTGGTCCTCCCGAGAGACGTTCCCTGCACTGAGGTTCCACTGTCCACACCACTTGAAGCAGTGGCAGTTCGGTTCATGCACCATAAAGCTCTGACAGTATGCTCTTTATATTTACCACCTTCTTTCACCTTGAAATGTTCAGATTTTAACTCGCTGTTAGAGCAGCTTCCAGAGCCTTTCCTTTTAAAGGCGATTTTAATTGTCACAACCCTTTATGGGGGAGCACACGTCAAGATGTCAGAGGAAAAATAGTTGAGTCAGTTTTAACCACACGAAGTCTCTCTCTTTTTAACACGGGCCAGCCAACCTATTTTAGTCCATCATTTTTGTCATCAACTTCCATCGACCTTTCAATTGGTTCTGCTATTTTACTTCCAGATTTTTCCTGGAGTGTGGATTCCAATCCACGTGGAAGCGATCATTTTCCTACTTTTTTAACCGGTAGCATAGCCCCTCTTTTAATTCATACACGCCCGCCTCGTTGGAAGCTTGACAAGGCTAATTGGGGCCTTTTTAAGCAGGCATCGCTTCTAGCATATTCTCGTCTCGAAAGTCTCACAATTGTCGAACTCAATCATCTTTTAACCGAGCGCATTATCACAGCCGCCAAGCTGTCCATCCCGCAGACATCTAAATTTCTTCCTAGGAGGCTAAAGCCCTGGTGGAATTCGGAATGTGAAGAGACACGCAAGAAACAAAATCGGGCTTGGGGTATTCTGAGACGATACCCCACTAGAGATAACCTCATATCCTTTCGGAAAATGAAGGCCCGTGCACGCTACGTCCGAAGAAAAGCCAAGCGGGAAAGTTGGCACGGCTATGCTTCCACTATAAATAGCACTACCTCACCTAAGGAGGTCTGGGATCGAATACACAAGATCAATGGTTCCTATCATGCATTTAAAATCCCCCTGCTTTTTAGAGATGGAACATGCCCAGACACACTCGAGGAACAAGCTGATATTTTTGGAGAACATTTTGAGTATATATCCAGTTCACATCATTATTCATCTACTTTCCTTCGACACAAGCTGAAGGCTGAGAGCAATCCCTTGAAAACCTCAGGAGGTGAACAGGAAGATTATAATGCTACATTCAGCTTGCACGAGCTTCTCGGAGCTCTTCATAACACAACGCCCTCAGCTCCTGGACCAGATGGTTTACATTATTCAATGCTGCAGCATATTCATCCTTCAACACTCGATGTTATTTTATGTCTTTATAACCGCATATGGCAGGAGGGCTATTTCCCTTCATCTTGGAAGGTAGCACATGTCCTTCCACTTTTGAAGGCTGGTAAGGATGCTTCTTTTGTTTCCAGTTATAGGCCCATTGCTCTTACCAGCTGTCTCTGTAAGACACTAGAACGAATGATTAATCGTAGACTAATGTACTATTTGGAGCATGGCAAGGTACTCGACAAATTTCACTGCGGCTATCGTTCATCAAAGTC